ATTGTAAGCCTAAAGGATGCACACCAGTTACAAGTTACATTTATCATGTTTATAATGAAGAAAAATCCTCCCTTCCGGGGACTTTGTTATAAGCATGTTTTACTGTAGATATGTTCCCTTAATTATACAGCTGAGACGGAGGGAGACCAGCTGAGGTAGAAATTTAATCAAATGAAATATTGAAGATAACAAACAGCACTCATGCTCAAAGTTCTCTGAAATCATAAAAAACAGGAGCAGAGGTCCTTAAAGCATCAGAGACCACTCAGGGATCAGGTGCCATGGAGGATTGACCATCCCCTGTAGATCAGTACTTTAGACCTGCTGTGTGCTCAGAAAAATCTGTTCACGATTCAGTGTGAAAATAATATACTAGCCTCAAAATTTTTTATGAAAACATCACTCAATAAAACAATTGGAGGATATATTAAGAGAAGATATGACAAACTGATATGATTAGTCACAGACACCAAATCACAATTCAAGAGACAATATTACACAGATGTGTCTAAAAACTACTACAATACTACTTTAACTCAAATTTAATTACTTTTACTACAGCTAAGATAGTTTTTGTGTTGTACTGAGGTTTGGTATTACACATATATATACAATAATGTTAGATATGAAATTATACAATAGCTTTCATAGATTTTATATGGAAAATATTGCAGAAAGAGGATGGAAATAGCCCTTGGGTTAATCCTTTCTTGGACTAGGTAATAAAAATTTCAAATGATGGGATGATTAATGTCATGATATCAAGGTGTCACCTAATTACATTGTAATGGCTTACAAACTTATTGCCATTATTAACAGAATGCTCTGAGTGTTTGGTGAACTTTCATCTAATTGGACAGAGCGACTATAGCTGTTACAGTGACCAAGAATGTCCTGAACTGATGGAGGTTGCAATTAAGTGCTACTCGTCTATCACGTCTATTTACCATTCCTGGAAGAATACTTTGGCATTGAACATTGCAATCAGACTTAAAAGGAAAAGTGAAACTTAAAAATATTTTTGACAGGCTCAATTTTACCTTTAAATATTATGCATTTCAATATTGACTTGGATTGATGTCAATGTGAATTTTGTCAAATCAAGGAAGAAAATTGAATGTTTTGCCTCAGAGGCCATAATAGGCCCAAGGCAAACAGTATTGCCTCAAGGTTGCATCAAAATACATTCTATCCAACAGCAGAACCATGCATAATTTTTTGTTATTCCTGTTACAGTTTATTATGGCATGTTTTTGCATTGGCTGCAATGTTTGCATTGAAAATCAGATTTTTTTGTTTACAGTACTGCAGATATTAACTTGGTTAATCACAGTAGTCAAACACCAATAAATGCAAATAAGATACAGCAGATCCTCCCTTCATTGATGCAAAGAAATTAAAAGTGGTCCAACATACCTCAAAGACCAGTCTAACATATCTCACCTAGCAGTTTGGACCACTCAGTAAAAACTTGGAAAGGTTCAACTATAAACTTAGCATAGATTTATAATATACGAAGCATTTTTTAAGGTAAAACAATTGCAGATAATTATAAGTGTGAGATTTTACTGATTTCTCAATTGAAGGCTTTAGTGATGTGCACTTGTGATTATTTGGAAAAATCACAGAATCTGTGTACTGTTTCATTGGAGCTAGGCCTTGCAAAATTTGCCATAAAACTTTCACCAAAGCTAATGCTCCATTTGGTGAAAGCATCAATCTATTGAACTAAATGAATATACATTTTTCATGGAACTATGCATCTGAGAAAATTACACTGTAATAGTTTGGCAACACAGTCCACAACCCAATCATCCCAATTTCCCCTTTAATTTTAATTTTTTTTCCTTTTCTCTACTTCCTTAGATAAACAAACTGTTGAAATCCAAATGGGCACTAATTGTGCCCCTTCATGAGCTGTCCTGTTTATATATTCCTATGAAGCACAATTATTTGACATTCATGTCAATTCAAGAAGAGGATAAACACTAGCCATGTTCTTCAACTCAACAATCAAATATATTGATGTTTTATCATTAACAATAGTTATTTTCATTTATGTATCGACTTGATATATCCCAGTCAACTTGAAATACTTGAAATAAAAGACAGCAAAGAGTCTGCCACATTTGTTTCATATTTGGATGTTTTACTTTCAACAGTTGACAAAGGTCAACTGACATCTAAATTGTATGACAATCAAACTGAAACAAAATGACTTTAGCTTTACCATTCATCAACTTTTCTCAGTTATCTAGAAATATTCATGATCACTTGCATTTTGTGTTTATGTTGCCCAACTTATTCAAGAGCATGTTCTGAACATGATCAATTTCTAAACAAATCAAGACAGGTTACTCACACATAATTCAACCCTAATTTAAAGTCAGCATTTTATATATTCTGTGGTCCTAATATAATCATCTTATTAGCAAATATAACCAATCACTGGGTGGTCACATTTTGGCTGACTTATTGCATACCAATTTGTAAAGCCTTTGTTTTTGTACAAAATTTGACAACAGAATGTTGTGTCCACTTGATCAAAACATAGGGCTCACTGTGGGTGTGACCAGTCAACAGGGGGGATGCTTACTCCTCCTAGGCACCTGATCCTATCCCTGGAATTCCCTGGGGTCAGTGTTTAGGTACTGTTGACATTATTTCTATTATTTGTAGTTTTTCAGAGATGAATCACTGTTTGTTATATTTACCTTTTTTACTTCGTGTGGTCTCTTAATTCTAGTATTATATTTAACTGTTAATTTTGAAACATTGTACTTTTTATAAAAAAAATTTTTTTTCCAGATTTTACATCCATACACCTTAATATAATATGCTTATACCAAACAGTAATATTATACATATACAATAGAAGAACAAAAGTAATTCTAGAGAGCTGAGTGTATACGGATATCTCATAAAGTACTCACTGGTGACCTGTGCATGCAGAGTTCCCTAGAAAATGTCTATCATCTACAGTAACAAACACGCAATTTTCACTTCTACGCTATCAAAAAACGATTTACACTGCAGGCTACTCTTACATCAATACCATATTCACCCTGAATAAACACTCAAGATTCTTGAAAAAACTAAGAATGAAGGGGGGTTTAAACAAATAACAAGATAAGATGTCATGGTTATAGAACTAATTACTTACTACAATGTGAAGGGTTGCAAGTCCCTTGGTCCAATAAAGAATATAGATGCACATTTTTTTCATAAAAGAATGCAAGTACATGCACTTAATGAGAGAACACTAAAATACATATATGACTGCTTTAATCTGGTCAATAACTTAATTATTTGATAATGAAAAATGTGTTGGAATTGGGACTTAGTATCAAAAATGTAGAAGATGTAAAAATGTCACAGATTGCAAGCAGTTCTTGAGCTATGGTAAACTATAAAGACTCCAATTTTCCAGCTAGTTTCTGATTATAATTAAGAGTCAGATCCAATGTATCCCTGCTCCTTGATTTTATAATAGCAACTATTGTTTCATACAAATAACTTGTTTTTAACCTTCATACACATTCAATAAGGGTGGCTTGACCCTATTTTTAAAATTATTATTAAAATGGCAGATATGATAACATGTACGTATGTAAATCTCCCATTCTTCAAACTAATTTGAATTCAATACATTGATATACCGGTAGATCTATAGAGTCAATTTTTTGTTAATTAATTTAAGACTACTTATTAATTTTTGTTACTAAACAAAAGAATTTTACCAAAAAAACATTCATATCTGGTTACAAGTCATTTGATAAATACTATACATGTTTAATGCTGACAAAAATAACTGTGACAGTTTGTCGATAAAAAGCTTGAAATTTGCTAATTTATGATAATTCTGCATTTTATGCCCATCACAAGATATCTGAATGGATGTAATGGAAATTATGAAAGGAAAGACCGAGCATCATATTGATCGAGATATCCAGAGAAAAGACTAGCAAAGTCTTCTAAAATTCCGGGGGATATGTAATGTAAAACAATAGTCTCATGTGGTAGCATGGCAAACTAAACATTAATGATTAATTAGCGTGTATTGTGCTTCATCATTTTGTTTCATGGTAGCTTGGAGAATGAATCATGGTTGGATAGCTCTTCCAAATACACAATGACAAAAGTCCAATACAAATGTATATCAATATAAAATGTGTGTTCATGAATTCATTTGACATGTTTTTGAATTCATTTTTAATCCTTGACAAATAGAAAATATTTCATATAAAGCTTCTATTAATATCTAGCAGTTTGTCATAACTTCATATTTTAAACATATTCAAAGTTTACTGAATTTTCATCTAAGATGAATGTTTAATTAATGTTCTGACCCCCCCCCCCAAAAAAAAAAAACAAAAAAAAAAAACTGAGAGATAAACAAAGCAAGAAGGCACAAACCCATTCAACCTAAAAAGTTTCACAAAATTCCAATTATAAAGCAAACAGCATTCTGTAAAAATAGAATTCAGCAAAGCAGGCAAATATCATTTTTTTTTTTATTACTCAAGGGAAATCATGAAAAACAACCTTAACCATATTGTCTTACAAAAATGTCCGAAAAAATATCAGCTATTGTTAGATTGATATAGTTCCAAAACTTTCCAAAATTCCAATATCATCAGATTTACTATTGGAACTTTTTCTTCTGGAATGTAAATGTATATTAGTCAGGTATCTGTCAATTATAAAATTTCGGGTTAAATTGTCAGGAAACCTTCATCATTCTCGTTAATGGTACTGATGAATATATATCTAACAACAAAATTTCAAATATACTGTACAATCACATATTTTCGAGGGGTCAATTTTTTAAGGTTTGAGAAAGAAATAGTGGTTTGTAGAGATTTGATTTCGTGGTTGGAGAAGTGTTTATGATTGAAGCAAATAAAATTTTACATTTGAATAGTTGGCATGAAAACAACGAAAATTAAACCCCCACAAAAATTTGTGATTTCATATTAATAAGATTTCTTTTCATTTACCTGTCTAGTGGTATTTTTAAAGGTTGCATTGTGGGAGGTTCCAAGCTCGACACAGCCCTGGAGTACATCAGCATGATAAATCCAAAGACTGCCAAACGAGGAAACATTTCCCACCTCATCGTCACTGTCATCGTATCACACGCTCCTTGTCACTGCCGGCATTAAAAAGGAATTACTCCGACAGAATAAATTATGGATTCCTCACGCTGCTTCTTTAAGGAGAAAAAAAAATTATCCCATTCAAAACTGTCCAATCATAAGGAGCTGTGACATTTCACTTTCAATATAAAAATGTGCAAAAAAAACAGCACTTGGTATTAATATGCCTAGCTTTAAACTTCTGACAGATGTCTGGAATTCCAGTATAAATATTTCATATATTCAACATCCACCCGATAATGATAATTGTCAACACTTCTTAGGGAAGCCAGTATCTTTGTTTCATAATTTGCTATATCCAATGACAACAAGACTTGTAGTTCATCTATAGCTCATTGGCACCTAACAAACTCATAACTCCACACTTTTCACAAAGCACTCTAACCTTTTTCAAACATGCATGCTTAGAATTCTCCAAGTGCTGGAATCCAAAAGATCAAATGCTTCTTCATCAAAAATGGATGAGGCGTATAGTTCCCCTATGACTTGGTCAGAGCACTAGTGATTCTACATGGATGATATTCGGCATTTAATCCGTCTGACCGATGCCCTGCGATAAAAATTCTGTAGGTGTATAACTCCAAAATACATCTGTATCCATCAATGGCACCATCATACAATGAAGTACTCACAGCAGAGGTTTCAATGGAACCATTATTAAATTGTCCATGGATTCAGCTGTCAATATTGGATTTTAATCAATGTTCTAAGCAGTCTAACAAAACCTTGGCTGTTGCTCCAATTCCACTGTGAAATAGTTTGTAGGTATTAGAACAATGGGGACCAGATTGTGAATAAAACGGCAATTACATCGATACCACTGCTAATGTTCAGGTATTTTTTAACTACAAAAATTTAAAATGAATCATCGACCATTACAATTCCAGTATTTGCTTTTAAGAGAGTTTTATAAACAAGTATTCCTGGTACAGGATGTATAAATATTCTCCAACTGGAGTATCCAATAATCACTTCTACAACAAATAAATCGTGACAGTCCACAGAAAAACACTTTTCATTTCAGTCAATGCAAATTGTTCGAGCCTATTACCGCTTCTAAAACATTAACGCCGGTGTAGAAGTTTTCCAATACTTTTTAGCGTAAAGATTGTACAGATACAAAATGATACTTCAGTGTGTGTACCTGATCCATCGATAAGATACGACGAAAAAAAATACCATATGACTCATTAACACAGAATGACTGCAAATGAGCAAAGGTGTATGTGGTTTCACTGCCATCTACGTAACCTTTCAATGACCAATTAACACTGAAAACTTTCTTACACCAAACTTTCCCTTTTTTTTTTTTAATATCACTTAACCTACAATAAACTTACTTCGATCACCTGAAATAAACATTGTCACAATCGGCTGGTCTCTGCTCTCAATGGCTCTATAATTGACTTTCCGCTAATGAATTCGCATCACTTCCTCCCCGATTGTGTGGAAGCCTGGCATGTTTTTCCGTTCCAGCCTTTTTCCCTTTTCAGGATGTCAGAGCCAATCTTGCCTATGACCTGGGAAGCATTATAGGAACGTGGGCTTTGATTCTGCAGATTGTTACAGAAGACGCATTAAATATCCAACCTCCCTCTCTCAATTATTTACCAGATAAAGCTGTAACTAGAAGGATGTTACACAAATTTGACTTCCCATTCTACAAATATAACCCTGGACTGAATCAATGGAGCAGGTTTTTAGCCTTTGACAGCTATTGGTTTAATTGTTTCTACTTCTGGGAAGTCCCTATATTGATTCGACAGGTTTAATGTAAACTTACAACATTCAATATGTCTGTTCTAATCCGATTCATTGGCTTCATTTTAATTGACAACCTTTCTCAATTTATCCTTCAACTCTTTGGCTAGATAAATAATAAAAGATAAATTTAAAGTATACTATGATATTGTGGATTTTTCGTAATAGCATCCCTATTAGTTAATTGCACAAAAAGAGGAAAATTACCAAACTTTTACATCAATAATATAAATCTCTTAGATGCTTTCTATATTAAACTTGGTAAAATACACTTAAGGCCCATGGACCACAATGCTCACCTTAGTCACTATGGTCCTGCTTTCTTCATCAGAAGATGTTTTTTGGTATGTAAAACTTTGAAAGCCTATTTGTGAAGCTTATATTAGTTTGTGAAGCAGAATGATAATTGCATGGTGGTGACATTTTCTTGTAGTTGAATATTCTTCTTTAAACTTTAAGCACTAATTTTAACCTTGAACTGTATTATTCAAACCATGACAATAAATGACCTCAGCTAAATCTAGTCTCTCTTCCATGAGAATTAACTGAAAGCCAAGGTTTATGTTGTGAAGAGACTGCTTCCATCCACACCCAAAAAAAGAAGGTAAAATGCTTTTTTATCCCTAAATTAGTCTTCTAAATATAGATTAAACTATTAAGGGGGCCGACTATAGTTTTATTGTGTGAAAACTACAATAGCAAAACTCTTCATTTTTATACCATATATAACTTACATTAACTTCAGTGTACATGCAAAGTTTGGGAAAAATCTACCATCTAGATATTTTTGAGGGACCGTCTCAAAATACAGGTATATTTACTATAGGATTATATAAGAAAATGCCAATTTTTAGCACTTTAAAGCAAATTGTACAAATACTACAATAGACATTTTGTTCAAACTATAATATTTCATGAGTAATACTAAATGATACAATACATGTAAGAAACACAAAATTCTACCGTATTGTGAAGAGAGGGGGCATCTCAAAATTCAAAAACAAATAGCAAATTTTACTATTTTTATAGAGTACTACAAAATATGACGTAAACAATGGATTCACAAGAAAACATAATAAAAATATTGGGGATATTCTAAAATTTCTGTTTTAAATTTCAAGAGCGTACTACATTTATTACTTTTTCTGTAATAAAATTTTTATTACCCCTTTCTTTAAGAGCTTCAGATTACCATAACGTCAAAAGGACACTGCAGCGACGTCAACCTATCCATCAATTGCAAAATCTGTTAAATAATCAGTTATATCAAATTGTAATTAAATTAATTAAGTGAAAAAAGTTGCATTAAAACAACTTGTACACTTCATTTTACTATGATGCGCGAAATACTGCACAATGGAAACTATAGTTGGCCCCCTTAAAATTTACTAGGAATGTCTAGTTTTTCCTACATGAGTTGTAATTCTAAAAAGACTTGTGAGACAAAAAAGAGAAACGTCCAATCTTTAATTGAGAAGTTATACCACTTGCTCACATTTGTGTTAAATTGATATAATTGATATTCTACAAAATGTCCTTGTCTTTATCCACCTACAGAAACAGTATAGAATATGCTGCATACATGTAACACATCATTATGGGCCTGGAAATAATATATTATTCAAAACAGGCATGTAAATAGCCCAAACCTTTACTTAGGCAGCGTAATTAGATTGCTCCGTCATAAATATTTGCCTCAATCAATATAATTCTATTGCCTGGTGATCTGGAAACAAAAGACTCAGTATACTGCTTTACAGATTGCATAATGTGTTTATTCATGGCTCTATAATCTAATAGGCAATGGATCATCAACGCATAGAGTTATACTTTTCATTCCATTTATGGATCATAGCAGATCAAATTTTACCAAAAAAAACTCTGTTTCTGTTTCAATATCCCTCGGCATTATTAATCAGGGATCCCACACATTGTCTATAAACTTTGTCATTATTTTCTTCTCTTGAAGTTGATCCGGCTTACTTTAATCAACATTCTCAATTTCACCATGAATCACTTGATATTGCATTCTTTTCCAATACAAGCTCATTTTATAACAGTATCAAATAAAAACATCCTCTCTATCATAGGGGTCTATTAAAAAATATCCCTTTAGGCTGCAGAGCTCACCTGATTCATCTTGACTTTTTTTTTTATAAAGCTTTTGTTTTTATTCCTTCATTCCAATAAAAAATAATTAAAATGGGGCTAATTCACAACATCGTCAAGATATGATATATAATCCTAGCTGAATAAAACATTGGGATACTTTAAAATCTATAAGATATGCATGTCTCTGCTGATCTCCCTGGATAAAATTTAGAAAGCTTTTACTCGTACTCATGCATTATGAAAAATATATGCTAATTAAAAAACATTAACTCAGAATTATTTTTTCAAAAACATATATCTAAAACCAGAAGTCTCTATTGAGACTGTAGCTCTACTGGTTTATACCTAAAACAAAGGAAGAGAAAAGTAGCAGGTGGGACTTGAAACTTTAAAACAGCAATAAATAGAAAAATGATTCTTGCCACTCATCAAAATAACAAGAGGCCCATGGGCCACATCGCTCACCTGAGAAGCGTTGACCATTCTGTTCTTTACCAGATTTCCCCCTTGTTATACTTAATGCATCCCCACCCTACCCCACTGATCATAATTTATTTTGAAATCTACACTACCCCATGATCCTTCCATGGGCACATATGTTTCTACTTTTTTGGCCCAGTGGTTCCTGAGAAGAAGATTTTCAAAGATTTTTCCTATATATTTCTATGTAAAACTTTGATTCCCTATAATGGCCCCGCCCTTCCCCCGGGGGTCATGATTCCTACAATTTAGAATTTACACTACCTCAGAATGCTTCCACATAAGCTTCACTTTTTCTGGCCCAGTGATTCTTGAGAAGAAGATTTTCAAAGATTTTTCCTATATATTTCTATCTAAAACTTTGATTCCCCATTGTAGCCCCGCCCTTCCCCCGGGGGTCATGATTTGAACAATTTAGAATCTACATTATACCAGGATGCTTCCACATAAGTTTCAGCTTTTCTGGCCCAGTGGTTCTTGAGAAGAAGATTTTCAAAGATTTTTCCTATATATTTCTATGTAAAACTTTGATACCCCATTGTGGCCCCGCCCTTCCCCCGGGGGTCATGATTTGAACAATTTAGAATCTACACTATACCAGGATGCTACATAAGTTTCAGCTTTTCTGGCTCAGTGGTTCTTGAGAAGAAGATTTTCAAAGATTTTTCCTATATATTTCTATATAAAACTTTGATTCCCCATTGTGGCCCCGCCCTTCCCCCGGGGGTCATTATTTGAACAATTTAGAATCTACATTATACCAGGATGCTTCCACATAAGTTTCAGCTTTTCTGGCCCAGTGGTTCTTGAGATGAAGATTTTCAAAGATTTTTCCTATATATTTCTAGGTAAAACTTTGATTCCCCATTGTGGCCTCGCCCTTCCCCCGGGGGTCATGATGTGAACAATTTAGAATCTACATTATACCAGGATGCTTCCACATAAGTTTCAGCTTTTCTGGCCCAGTGATTCTTGAGAAGAAGATTTTCAAAGATTTTTCCTATATATTTCTATATAAAACTTTGATTCCCCATTGTGGCCCCGCCCTTCCCCCGGGGGTTATGATTTGAACAATTTAGAATCTACACTACCCCAAGATGCTTCCACATAAGATTCAGCTTTACTGGCCCAGTGGTTCTTGAGAAGAAGATTTTTTAATGACCCAACCCTATTTTTGCCTTTTCTTGATTATCTCCCCTTGCGAGGGGATATGTCCCTTCATTTTAACAATTTATATTCCCCTTTACCCAAGGATGCTTTGTACCAAGTTTGGTCAAAATTGGCCCAGTGGTTCTTGAGAAGAAGTCGAAAATGTGAAAAGTTTACAGACGGACAGACAGACGGACAGCTAGACAGACGGACGGACGACGGACAAAATGTGATCAGAAAAGCTCACTTGAGCCTTCGGCTCAGGTGAGCTAAAAACCAATGCACAGAATTATGTATCTTAGTATAGTCAACTTGTGTGCCAAGTTATATTGAAATCGGACCAAAACTGTAGGAGGAGTAGCATTTTGAAAGAATTTTACAGAAATTTCTATTTTTAGTAACCATGGCAACACCGTTCATCAAAATCAAAAACCGATGCATAAAATTAGGTATTTTAGTGTAGTCTACTTGTGTGCCAAGTTATATTGAAATCGGACCAAAACTGTAGGAGGAGTAGCATTTTGAAAGAATTTCACAGAAATTTCTATTTTTAATAACCATGGCAACACCGTTCATCGAAATAAAAAAAACGATGCACAGAATTATGTATCTTAGTGTAGTCTACTTGTGTGCCAAGTTATACATGTATTGAAATCGGACCAAATCTGTAGGAGGAGTAGCATTTTGAAAGAATTTCACAGAAATTTCTATTTTCAGTAACCATGGCTATCACCGTTCATCGGAATCAAAAACCGATGACCAGAATTATGTATTTTAGTGTAATCTACTTGTGTGCCAAGTTATATTGAAATCGGACCAAAACTGTAGGAGAAGTAGCATTTTGAAAGAATTTAACAGAAATTTCTATTTTTAGTAACCATGGCAACATCATTCATCAAAATCAAAAACCGATGCATAGAATTATGTATCTTAGTGTAGTCTACTTGTGTGCCAAGTTATATTGAAATCAGACCAAAATTGTAGGAGGAGTAGCATTTTGAAAAATTGTTTACAGACAGACGGATGGACGACGGACGCATTACTATTGCATAAGCTCTTCTGGTCTCTGACCAGTAGAGCTAAAAATGTTTGGTTGCCCGCTCCCAAACGACTGACCGAAAACTTTTTATTTCAACCTCCAGCTGGATGCAGTATTTTTTATATGTACTCTAAATATCATTTTTAAAAATTGCCATTGCAATTAAAATTTTCTTAGAAAAAAAAAAAGTTCTCACCTACCTATTGACCAAATATTTTCATACCTAACCCAGTCAGGAGAGGGCAACCAAACATTTTATAAAGTTGGCCTATTGAAAGATTAAAACCCACTTGAAGAAATGTCATTTTTTGTTGAAATTGGC